CATTTAAATAAACGATATTCAAATAAATCTACCGAAGATAAATCGACAACTTTTTTTTCTCTTCATTCCAAATCAACTTTGGCAGCAATAAAAAGTTGTATTGCGCCACACCCTGCACTTTTTGGAGCGTTTTGGAGTTTATTACATGCGTTGAGGTTTCTTACGTAATAAACGTAAGATACATATTTCTTACGTAAATTACTTACAAGTCGCTCGAAATACGAAAATTTACCAACCCAGTTGAAGATGCTGCACAAAACCTAGTTCGTGATTTGAGAAATGATCAAACTGACGATGAATTCAGAAAGTTTTTTCGAATGTCACCCCAACACTTCGATATTTTGCTTGAAAAAGTGAGTCCAATTATAGCCAAGAAAGATACAACCTTCAGAAGACCGATATCACCAGAAACCAGATTAACCATCACCCTTCGTTATTTGGCATCAGGTGATTCGTATCGTTCTTTGATGCTTTTATTCAGGGTGCCACATAATACCATATCGGGAATTGTCTCAAAGACTTGTGCAGCGATACATTCTACGCTTAGCGATTATTTAAAGGTTTGATAGAATACAAATCATTTATGGAAAAGTTGCAAATACTCAAATTTCCGTTTAATCGAACAGGTTCCCCGAACGCAAAATGAATGGAACAAAATTGCAGAAGATTATTACGTTCAGTGGCAATTTCCGAATTGCTTGGGTGCCCTGGATGGAAAACACATTACAATTCGTTGCCCAAGTAACTCAGGGTCTCTTAACTTTAATTACAAACATACATTCAGCGTGGTTCTCATGGCATTGACGGATGCAAACTACAAACTGATTTACATTGATGTTGGATGTAAAGGCCGAATCTCTGATGGAGGTGTTTTCAATAGATGCTCACTATATCAAGCGATCGAAAATAATTCCTTGAATATACCACCACCGCGGAGTCTGCCAGGCTCAAATGTTGTAGCACCGTTCGTAATCGTTGCTGATGATGCTTTTGCTTTACGCCCATATCTTATGAAACCTTTCAACTTCCGCGGCCAAGATCAATCAGAACAGATATACAACTACAGGTTGTCTCGTGCGCGCCGTATGGTTGAAAGCACCTTTGGCATGTTGGCGTCCAAATTTCGATTGCTGCGGACCACCATAGAGCTAAGTGAACAAAATGTAAAGCTCTGTGTCTTGGCCATTTGTTCTATTCATAATTGGTTAGCTACTATTGATCCAGAATCATATTTAGCATTAGAAATAAATCAGGAAGAAACATTGGATAATTTGGGCGGTGTAGCGAATGAACAAAGTATTTCAAATGAAAGAGGAAAAAATATTCAAGAAATCTTTAAAACATATTTCACCTGCGAAGGACAAGTGCCTTGGCAATATGAAATGATTTAATTTGTTGTTTAAATACATTGTAATGAAGAAACTATTTCAAACATTTAACCTTAATGTGACCAGCACTTGTAAACATTTTTGAAACACCTATTATGTAAACAATTTACTGCTCCAATGGAAACAAATAATGTTTACGGAAACAATATTTCCATCAAAAGTTTACATAGTGTGACTGCACCCTAGGGTTACACTGAACGCAGCGAACTCAGCAATGTAGCGAGCTCTGTAATGTGAGAGCTGTCAAAAAAATTTCTGCAAGTGAATTTGCCAATTTATTAGGACTGGTTCACACTGATTTCTCTGTTTTTCGCTATAATCGTTTGATGTCAAATGGACCGAAATATATTTTAAGGAGTATACGATTTAAACTTTTTTCAAGTAACTATAATTTTTCATCGTTTTACATGATTCTTCTTTATGTTTCAATTTTTTCTCCAGCTGGAGAATGGAAAATATTTTTTTTCAAAGAGTCGAGTAATGAGTTTTAAGTTGTCCAAAAGATGAACAAAGTTAGTCGCTTCGAATGGACAATATTAATTCGGTGTTTCGTGTTTGAAACAAAAATTCACCAAATCTCGAGTACAAAGCAGATCGACCGAGGATGAAGACTTTGGATTCGCAAATGTGCGACTGGATTTGTTGTGATCGCGCGCGCCAAAGAGGTATTGTCATCGTGTCGTTTTCAAATAATTGTGTGATTTACATAATTTTGTTGACAATTTGGAAACATGAACGCTGCAAAAAATTATTCGGTAATACAACGGTAATCGTTGTCATGCCTTATCATTGCTAAGGAAAGAAAAAAAAAACAAATCGTAAATACCAACGCGTATGCGGTTTGAATCGACAAATTTCGAGCGAAACAAAGAAGTGCACACAATGATTTTCCGGGACAAGGTAAAGTTGAAAGAAAAGATAGAACAAAGTCAGGTTCGACGCTATTGTGCCTTTCGAGTACCTTTAACCCACGCTCTATGGTCACTGTGCATTTTAATTGAGATTGATCTGATAGAACTAGCGCTATTTGCATTGTATACAATTTCATTTATCACCTCGAATTGACATTTTAATTTAGTGATGACAGTAAACGTCTTGTAGAAATAATTCTTATTGCAAATTGGACTTTTTATCGTACAAAGAATCAAATTTTTTTTATTTGAGTTCAAATTTTTTTACAGTTTTTTTTTTAATTTTCCAAAATTTCTTTGGAACATCATCTGTTGAATATTTTTCTGCTTCATTCGAGTGAAAGTTTGAAAAATGTACTATGAAATTCGAAAAGTAAATGTTCTTTGCGTTACACAGTCTGCAGACGTATTTAATTATGGCATAAGTGCCATCCCCTTGTTCGACACCATGTTTGCAGTCGATATGGCGTTGGATGTTGCGCTCATGTTTAAATTGGTTGTGGCATCCAACTACCGGACAAACATGGTGTTGAACAAGAAGTGGCGCTTCAGCCGCTTCACCAACGACCTCATCATCAGCCATATTGTCATCAAACGGTATTTCTACCGTTTCATTTGATGGAAGCATTTGAATTGAGGCATCCATACTCTCTACAATTGCTGTATTGTCGTCCGGTTGTACGGCCAGTGAAAAATGCTCATAAAATGATTTTGCATTTTTTACTGGCGTTACCGTGTTTACCCAGTGTTCAACAGTGGTCACAGCAAAATCTAAATTATTTTTGATAATTTTTTTCTTTCTTTATTATTCAATAATATCTTTTTATTTATATCATTCTTTTTTTCCGCGAATATTGGCGTATTTTACAATGTGTTTTACCATATCTGATTTGAACAACGCGTATATGTAGGATGAATCAATTTTATTAAGTGCAGCGATCACCACATCATGTATTGATTTTAGATTTTTGATCGGCTCTCGTCGCAATCCTTTGACGGATGTTTTTCCAGTCCATGTGAATTCGGACAGGCATTTCTTATCCATAAGTGCCTCTAGCACTCGTCTCGTCATCCCCCATGCAACGCGCTGTTTGTTGTTTCCATAGATCTTGCTTATGTGAACAAGCTATTGAAATATAAGAACATTTTCATCACATCGTGGATCATAAAATACAAATATCAGTCATAACTCACCACTTCTTCGAATATTTTCTCTTCTTTCAATATTTCGTTCAATTGCAACGCTTCCGAAACGGTTTTTGTTGGTAAAGCAACACTTATTCCTTTGCTTGTGAACGTTTTGATATTGATTCCCAAATGGTTTAATGGTGGAGCATCAACCGTATATGTGGTATTAACTTTTATGTATAGTAAATCACGGTGTAAGGTGATTTCTTGTTCGAGTTTAGTAGCGGCAGTGGAAAGAGCCATAAGTTCGTCATTTAATTTGAGATGCTGCTGCTGCTGCTTTGCGTCGGAGCGAAGCTAATATCTGAGTCTCCGTCTGTGGCAAATGGATCTGATTCTGATGACGTGTTGGTTTGAATTGGCTTCGCAATGCGATTTTGATCGTAAATTTGTGCCGAACATTTCTTTTATTTTCGACACTGCCGTCCAAATTATAATTATCACCCATTTTATTGCCCTTTTTCCTATGCTTATATTCGCTTCAAAGTCTACTGTATACTGAGAGTATTTTTTAAATTCAAAGGAATTCATACCATCCGCTAAATGGGACAACATGTAATTTACTCCATCTGGAGTACTCCATCTGGAGTATATTAATGTTGTCTACAAAAGCAAAAAATTACTTTGACAAATTCGTTTGATTCTCCAGATGGAGAAAATCCTTTGAATAAAAAAAATACGTGTGGACACGTTCGCATTTTCATAATGATTAAAGCCTGATTAACACTGTAAAAAATTGCATAAATCGTACGAAAATTACTGTCCATTTTGTATTATAATAATTATCATACAAAGTGAACATAAATTTTCGCACGATTTTTCCTTCTTTTTACGGTAATAATCGGGCCTTATTTGTTATCATAAAAAATGGACAACAATTTTCGTACGATAAATGCAATTTTTTACATTCAAATCGAACTAAATAGTGGCTACACAAGAAGCTCGATTTGAACGAAAAATCGACTACTCGATGCCCATTGGGCACGTGGCCCACGACCACGTCGTCCACCGGGTATTTGTTTGTCTGACATGATTTTTTTTGAATCGGTATTTCTTTTTACAAACAATGATTTTAATAAAAAAAATTACTTGTCGAAACTATTTTACTGATATTTAACGTATTTAACCGATATTTCGTTCAGAAAGAATTGCTCGAAGAACGCTTGAAAATTTTTGCTCCGACTACGCGAATCAGTGTTACGATCGATGTGAACGAAGTGGATAATAAAAATGGCGGGCAACGAATATTCCAGTCGTTCTAGCCGTTCTAGCACTTCTAATCGTTCAAGCCGTTCAGGCAAGTGTATGCAATGGTTTGCGATGTTGTTACGGTTGCATTCGTTGTGTTGTTCTTTCTCACTCCTGCGAAGATGGGTTGCGTGAATAAGGCGAAAGGGTGAGAGACGTGAGAGAACAACAGACCGAACACACAACCCACACAACCAACACAACTATTGCGATAGCCAAACGCGGCAAACGCGTCAAACACATCAATCTCAAAAGACGAAGAGTGTGGACAGTAGTATATCTATGAGACTTCTAACCCACTTTCTAATAAGAACCTTTATTGATAAGAACCGCCGAAGTCAAAGAGGGGTAGAATTCTCATAGATATATGTGAATGCACAAGAGGGGTAGAACCATCATAGATATATGAATGTTAATTTAGAAGGGTGAAAAAATGGTATAAGCTGAAAAAAAAGAGGGTGAATCGAAATAAAACACGGATTTTTGTTTATGGGTGAAATTTATTTTGGAATAAAAAGAAGCTCATAAAACGTATGCAAACATGAATGAAAGAATGCTATTTAACTGCGAAATATGTGAAAAATGGGGAACAAAACACTGCAAAGCGAGAAAAAAAACATGCCAAATAATCAATTTAAAAAAACGCAGCGAAACTCAGAGTGTCTGAATGGTGCTTTGCATGTAGCGCACTCGTTTTTGTAGTTGCGATTGGAATTTTGCGCGCTTATACAATCGAAGCAAAACAAATGTCCACATTTTAATGAGACTGGCTGATTATTATATAGTGAATCGAAGCAAATGTTGCATACTGGATTATTGTTGTTGTTGTTGTTGTTGGCTGCTGCGATATTGTTATTGATGCTGTTGTTGTTGTTGACTGCGATATTGCCAATGCTGTTTACCACAACCTGCGCGTTGGCGTCACCATTAATCTCAATTTCCAAGCCAACATCGGGAACTTGGATATCAGCTAGCGGGCCAACGGTAGCAGTTTCGTTGAAATCATTATTGAGACCTTCGAAGCGCAGACGGCGTGCGCGTGGAAAAGGTGGTGGTGTGAGGCGCATTGGTGTTGGATCATATATCGGTGAACGCGGTGAAAAACGCTGTCCTTCCTCGAATGATTGCCGACGAATACCAGTCATCATCGGTGTAAATGGTAGCGTTACATCACTATCATCGTCACTGCTTATTTCGACGTACCCCGAAAAATATGTTGATGCTGGTGATGGAGAAATCCTACTCTTTATCTGCGGTGATGGTGAACGTGGAGGAGTTTGTCTGCGCATCAATGTTGTGCCCAGTATTGGCGATGGCGATCGGATGCGTGATGTTGATGGTTGTGGTCAGCCTTTCTGATCATGAAAATAGTAAACAATACAGCGGCACCTGGGGACTAAGTGCAACGTGTCATACTTTCAATGTTTGAATTACACAGACGCACTTACACAGACGCATACTTGTTACAGCAAACTATGTGCATGATTCTTCATTTCTCCAACCAGTCGCCAGGTGCCGCTTTATTGTTCTTGTTTGACGTTTCCTATCTATTTGTACAGACGATCAGAGAGGCTGGTTGTGGTGATAATGTACGTGGCGGAGTTTGCCTGCGATTTGGTGATGATGTACGTGCTCGTTTTGGTGATCGAATGTGCA